GTGCCGTCAGCCGGCCGTGACCCTCACGCTTGTGCCTCCCCACAGGTTCACGGACGCAGAGGCGGTGGTGATGGGCGACGTGACCTACGGCGCGTGCTGCGTGGATGACTACACGGCCCGGGCCCTGGGCGCTGACTTCTTGGTGCACTACGGTCACAGCTGCCTGAGTAGGTGACACTCGGCCGCGGGGCGCTGCTGGGGCAGCCGCGCGTGGCACTGCAGTTGTGCTGCTGACACCGTGCCGGGTGGCTCCCGCTCTGCTCGACGCCAGCTCAGAGCCAAGGGCTAATCCCTTCCCAAAGGGATTTCTGTTCTCCTGGCTGGGCAGCTGCCCGTGGGCAGGATTTTGGGCAAAGCAGGGTATGCCCAGCCACGCACCTCAGTGCCCAAAATCGCTGCCCTGTGCCCGAGAACAAGGGCAGCGGGACCGTGGCTTGGCAGGACCCCCCTCACTCAGTGGCCTCCAATGGGGATGGGGCTGCTCTCACCCCCCACCCTTCAGCAGTAGGCTTCTGAGGGGGGAGTCAGGAGTGACGGTGGAGTGATGTCCTGGGGGTCCCGCTTGGCCAGGGAGCAGCACAGGGCCAGGAAAGGCAGCTTGGTGGGTGCAGTGCAGGCTGGGCAGGGAAGGGAGGAGGAGGCTGCGTGCTCCCCAGGCGGACGGTACTCTGGATCCAGTTGCCATGGAAACTGCGCTGCTGTCCCAGATGCTGCTAACTTTGAAGTCCACCCAGGATGGAATCAGCCCAAAAATAACAATAAGACGATCTGCATTTTAAGGTGGATCGGCAGAATTGCCGTAGCGAGCGGCAGGCACGTGCATCCCTGCTGCGCTCCTGGCGGCCCTCCTGGACATTTATGGGGCCGGATAAATGGGTTTGAAGAATTGCATCAGGCTCCGTATGAAATACTGACTCCCCAGTTGAGAACTCTGTCCCGAAAGCCACGTCGGCTTGAGCGTTTGCGGCGATAAATATCTGTGCTAGGTGCTTTGTTACGGGCAGCACTGGAACGAGGAGTATAAAACCCCTGGTTTGTAGCCGCTATGACATGAATGAACAGCGGGAAGGGGAGGAAGGGGCCGTATCCAGCCGCACTGGTGTGAGAGCCGGGCTGCTCCGGGGGATGGGACTCACATCTGGAGCTGCTCCTCGCAGGGACAGGCAGACACTGCCAGGTTGCCCATCACCGGCCCTGCTGCCATCCCTGGTCCCTGCCTGCACTGCCCTAGGAGGGATGCGGGGCACTCCGGGGTGCTGAGAGGGTGCTGGGCTCCTTTTGGGCTGCTGAGGGTGCTTCCGGCAGAGGCTCAGTGCAGCCGCTGTCGCGGGGAGCCCCGTGGTTGATGACAGGGTGCGTCCTGGTGCTGCACTTGCCCTCTCCCTCCCGGCCCCACGTGCCCTGCGGGAGGGAGTAATTTGCACTTAATTGTGATCAGGTAAGAGCACCAAAATGGGAAGTGAACGCGGAGCTGTGGATCGATGTGGACTCTGTGTACTTTAATTATTCACTTAATCGTGGTGACACAGGCTTCTTAGCACCGGGGGTAATTAGATTTGTGTTCATTGATTCCCCAAGCTGCCATTATTTGGCGAGAGATGAGCGGGTCCTCTCCACGGCTCCCATCCGCACCCCCTGCCTGGGGGTGCCAGTGCAGGCAAGGGGGTGCACAGCCCACCCTGGCCTGCCCACGCCGGTGCGGTTTCAGCACAGGGAGCCCTGCCAAGACACTTGGTTCCCTGGCATCGTGTGACAGCAGTCGGGGACTCACGGGGGCCCCGGGTGTACCCCACACTCATACCATCTCTATTCCTCTCACCAGTTCCCATCGATGCCACGCAAGGGCTGAAGATGCTCTACGTCTTCGTGGATATAAAGATCGATGCGGCCCATTTTCTTGAGACCATTCGCTTCAACTTCGCAGCAGGCAGCTCCCTGGCCCTCGTCAGTACCATCCAGTTCGTCTCCACGGGGCAGGTGAGTTGGGGACCGCCAGCAGTGCAGTGGTGCGGGCTGGGGTTTGTGCCTCCCCCCCCAGCCTTGGCCCTGGCTCAATCCCTCCCTCACCCGGCTTTGGAGCGGCTGCCCCGGGGTGCTGGTGGCGACGGTTCCCCTCTGACGAGTCGCTGCAATAATGTGCTGCCGCCGTAATGTTGATCAAGTACTTTATAATAACTCTGATCAATGTTTCATGGCAGCACCCCTCCCTGGCCCCCCCGGGAGCTGCTCTGTAAATGTCAGGGCAGGCGGTGGAGCACTTGGCGTTTTGATGCAGTGCCGGCAGCGGCCGGGGAAGCTCCGGCGGGTCTGTCTGCCTGACCCTGCACGGCCGGCTGGGCAGGGCGGGAGGAGATGGATGAGCCTCTTGAGCCATGTCTATCTAAACACGGGGCTGTTGAAGCGTCGAGCGTTTTCCCTTGTCTTTTAATTGATACGTTGGCTGAGCCTCGCTGAGCGTCTCGGCTGTGTGGGACCGTTACCCTCTGTGACGGTGGGGCTGCCCCCAACAGGTGGCACAGCCGTCACTGCTGGCACTGCCAGGGCTGTCTCCAAGGGTCCCCAGCAGTGCCAGGGACCACCGGCCTTGGCTGTTCTCTGTGCCACGTCTGTCCCTGCTCTCCGGCTGATCCCGCATCTCCCGCAGGCAGCGTCGCAGGAGCTGCGCTCCCAGTACAAGGTGTGTGTGCCCCAGTGCAAACCACTGTCCCCAGGGGAGATCCTGGGCTGCACGTCACCCCGGCTCGCCCAGGACACGGACGCCATCGTGTAAGTCTTCCAGGACCCTCCTGCCTGGCCCAGGCGGCCCACCCTGCCTCCTGCCTGGCCGTGGGGGTGGTTTTGCGGGGGGACGGGAGGATGTCTGTGGGCTGGGACAGGCCCCCTCCAGCTCCCTGCGCTGCTCGGAGTGGCGTGTGCTCGTAGCACAGAGGAAATAATTGAGTCGTATATCAGAATAGATAATAGATGGAAGGGCGGGTGGATAATTGGAAAAGACAAATGGCCGGGGCCCAACATCACAGCAACATTAATTTTATTTAAGGACAGCAAATTAGAGGAAGCACTTCGCTTCCTATCACCTAATTATTTTAGGTAATGGAAATGCTTAATGTACTGTGAATACAGTGTGCTGCAGAATAAATAAATACAA